AATTACCTTAATTTAAGCCGCTTACGCAACTAAACACCTAAATTTACTGGGGTTTCCCCCTAAAATAAAATTTTTTTACTCTTAGAACCACTCGAGGTTCTCCTTACGGTTGTTGAGCTTGTCACCGTCAATGTGTCTGACCTCGTCTTCTTGTCTGGATTTGGAACCCATTGAATTGCGACAAGCTTGCCCATGGAAATTGAACGCGATTCCGAAGGTAAGGTTCAAGTGTCCCAAGTTGTTGAGGACTGGGGTAAGAACCTTGCCGGTCTCCTGTTGCGGATTTGGTATGGGTAGGGTTGGGAAATTTCGTAAGTGTCATCGGCAACAAGGGTTGCCCAAACTTCCTTTCTTCGTGTTTCTCTTCTTCTTCCTCTTCTTCTTCGTGTTCCTTCTTCTTCCTCGAAATTCCTTCTTCAATTTGGTGCTCACGAATTACGGTGTTGCATGTTCTGTCCTTTCCGAGTACCTTCCAGATGGCGTCTATCTCTTCGAAGAAACGGTAGATGAGTCTGGCAAGGTCTCGGTTCTCTCTCGCGTAAATGCGCAAGGTTTCCGTCAAATCATTCAGGCATTTCTCATTGGAAGCTTGGTTCATGAGGAACTCACCTTTAAGTCCCTTCATCTCTTCCATAAGACTACTTTGGAGAGTCTTAACGGTGTTTGTCAGATGAGCTTTCAAATTCAAAATTTGAATTTGAACTGGGCGCTTGTCTGGCAACATTGAAAGGACATCTGCCATTGTGTTCGGCTTCGGTGCTTGTTCGGACATCGAAAAAATGAAGTGGTTTGAGAATGACGGTTTTACTTCAAAAAGCTTGTTATGACGGTTAAGTCATACAACAAGTTTAAAATAATATCTTGTTCTTCTTCTGAACGTTTGTTGTCTCTTCCGATAAAAGTTTCGAACATGAGAACCAAAAAACGTTTTTTGAGATTGCGGAAGAGTTCAGGCAAACGTTCATATTCTGGATATGTTGGGAGCAGTTCGAAACATCTGAGCTGACTTTCGGACAAAATTGGGACAATGTCAGAAAATTCATCTTTGGTCGGACTGCTTGAAGGTAAGTCCCTTACATGTAAGTAGCTCTGGTAAAGTCTTCTCATTTCTGCTAACTTTTGGAGTATAGCTTCGTATTTAGAGTTTTAATTTTAATTGTCTTATTCCACTCTTACATCTAAACGGTAACTATCCATGAGGTCAAGAGTAGCTTTGGTAGCTTTAAGTGGAGCTATCTCTTCTTTGACTTGTGCAATTTTGGTTGCAATTGTGGTTTGAGCTCCTTCAAGTTCGCCGTCTATGTCGTTCTCAACCTTCAACCATAGCTTGAAACTCTTCATCGGTCCATTGAGATTGGTGTGGGACGAATTTAACTTGCTTCATTCAAAAAATGAAAAAAATGTTTTTACTCAAAGCGTGCCATGTATATGGCTATAAGAAACTTACCAGAAGGCTTCTTCTTCACATGAGTCTTTGGCAACTTGAGTGTTGGTGTTGGAGTTGGGTCTGGAATTTCAATTCTCTCTCGAGCGCAACAACAGATGTCAGAATAACATTCCCCACTGTCTTTCTTGCCACCATAAATTGTGTATTGACCGAACTTGCATTTGCAGGAAGACCGGTCAATACAAGGTTCACAGTTGAATAGTTGTACACAACCTGTTGAGTACGAGTGTGAGTAAAAACATAAAAAAGTGAAGTTAAAATGAGATGTTTACTGTAAAGGTACGATGTCGCCTTCTGTGTTTATGAAGAACGCCCGACCCGAGAAGTGTAAGAGTCCTCTGAGAATTTGGGCAATTCGTACAGTTGGGTTCTCTCTGTTTGGAAGTAGTATCCAAGGACGCTTGGCAAAGAACTTCAAGAGGACTTCTTTCTTCATCTCTTTTATGTCGTCGAAAGGAGTGTTTTCTGGTATTTGCAGGACAATTCCAGTGTCAATTTCAATTTTAAGCGCACTTCTTCCAGACACCCAGCCTGCAATGGTCTTGTTTGACTTCAGATGGCTCAGGTAGTTCCTAACTAGCTCATTTATCTCTATAAGGTAGATTGCCTCATCTGCTGGGTCTATGTCGGTCATTGTTTCAAGACAAGTCTTTTACTTTTTCAAGTCTTTTATTTTCAAGACAAGTCTTTTACTTTTTCAAGACGAGTCTTTTACTTTTTCAAGACAAGTCTTTTACTTTTTCAAGACAAGTCTTTTACTTTTTCAAGACAAGTCTTTTACTTTTTCAAGACAAGACCCGTAATTTTTCAAGAAATTTTTTGGTGTAAAGTTCTCAAATTTGAGAACAGTGGTCTTGATTGAAGACGATACCCGTACTTTTTCAAGACAAGTCTTTTACTTTTTCAAGACAAGTCTTTTACTTTTTCAAGACAAGTCTTTTACTTTTTCAAGACAAGTCTTTTACTTTTTCAAGACAAGTCTTTTACTTTTTCAAGACAAGTCTTTTACTTTTTCAAGACAAGTCTTTTACTTTTTCAAGACAAGTCTTTTATTGTTTCAAGACAATGTCCGACGTACCACCAACCGAGTCCATTCCCAAGCCAGAGGAACCTAAAGCACCAGCCCCTGCACCTCAGCAACCTCAGTTCCAGCAAGTACCTCCACCAAATTACTACCAATTTCCACCTCAATGTTACTACCCACCACAAGGCTTCCCGAACTACCCTCCTCAGCCTATGCCTTACTGCCCTAACCCTTGGATGTTCATGTCAAACCCTCCACCCCAATTCCAATTCCAATCTCAATCCAAGAGAGACCAAGAGTTCGAGGAAGGTCTGAACCGTTTACGCAAAGAGTATGCCACAGCCCCTATGGAAGATGACAGGCTTTCAGTCTCTTCCCTAAAGTCGACCGATTCGACTCGTACCACAGATTCGGTTCGTGACCGTGAAGACTACCTCAAGCAGTCTGAGAGACTCTTCATCCTACAACCATTTACAGTTGGAGCTCTCAAGAACATGCGCAATTACGAAGGTCAGACACCAGCTGGAGACCGCAAAACAGACGTACTCGCAAGAGCAGTCCAACTGGTCAAGACAAAGACGGAGATAGTTGACTTCATTCTTGCAGCTTGCCCATACAAGTAAAAAAATAAACAATTACGAGTTAAACTTTTTACTCTTTCTTTTCTGAGTTGTTTAGAGCTGGTTTCTCTTGTAGAAACCTTTCGTACTCTTCCATGGTCATGTAATTGCGAATTTGGTACGCAATTCCAGGTTCGTTGTTTTTGAACCTTACGTATGTAACGCTTCCATCCTCCTCAGGGAAGTAAGCTGCTAACATCTGACCAAGTTTTCTCGGTGACTCGGAGCTCATTAAAAATGTCACTTTTTAAACGTTAAGTTTTTAGTCTTATTTTACCCTTTGTTTACCCTTTGTTTGTCAAGGTAGTATTGGAGTGCAATTTCTCCAAATTCTCTGTGTCGGAGTTCTTCAGCATTTTCCAAGGTGTTCCTGGAGAACTCAAAGAAGTTGTCAAGAACATACTGCCATGCTGCTCTTCTGAGTTCGTCGGTATTTTGGAAGTGTTGCACCTTCGAGTCTTCGGACATGAAAAAATGACACTTTTTCTATTAAACCGTTTACAATTTGAATTTTCATGAAATTTACACCAAAAATAATGTTTATGTTAGAATGTTAGATCTAACATGTTTTCTAACACGTTTTCTAACATGGTCTAAAACTCTTGAATTTTCATGAATTTTCCCGAAATAAAAAATAAAGTTGGTTTTTTTAAAAAAATATTTTTTTATTTTTATTGTAAGAACATGTTAGCAACTACAGCACCAAACTCGCTAGTTATGAACCCAACTTCAATGTTAGTAGAGATGAAAAGCTTCATTCCTTCTTCATATACTTTCGAAACAAAAATCCAGAAGATAAAGCAAGAACTTTTAACAAGTAATTTAGACTGTAGTGCGAAAGATGAAACAAATGAACAGTATCTTTATGAAATGCAGGACATTATTGACCATTTACCCAAATTGCCTGAAATCCAACAACAAAAACTAACCATTCCCGAATTTGACGAAATAAAAGTCAAAGCAACTGACTCAGTAGAAATAAAGAAGTTCATACGAAAGGTAAATTATGAATTCCTTGGTTTTCATTGCAACCATAAGGTTATGGACAAAGATTGCGACATGGTATATAAGAACATCTCTGACCTTTACAAATCCGAAGAATTTAAGACCTACGACAACTTTGTTTCGTTAGTTGCAAAATGTGTTTGGGAAATAAGAGATAAAGATAGTAGGGGTAAGGTATGGAACGAACAAATAAAACCCGCTATGTTCGAGATGAAGAAAACCATTGACGCCTTAGTCATACTAGCAGGTAAGGTTTCAGAATATAACGCAAAAATGAACCCACAATGTTCTAAATGTAAAGCAGCAATGAGGAAATATAACTACTCCGTCAAAGAGATAGAACGTATGCGAAACGACTATGCTGACTTAAAGAAAGAAGCAGAAAAGCCAGCAGAAGATAAAATGGACATGTTGACATTTCTAAACAAAAACTATCCAACCGCTAACGATTTCCTTCTTTCAGATGTCAAGAAGAAGTATAAAGAAACTTTCGGTATCGTTAAAACTTTTGACATACTGACAGAAGAAATAGAAGCTACGAAATTGTTTAGAGTCATGAACCATCGCAACATATACCATGTAAAACGCTTGTAAATAGTTATGTTAGAAAACATGTTAGAAAACATGTTAGATCTAACATTCTAACATAAACATTATTTTTATTGAATTCCGTATGAAATTTCATGAGTTTTGTATGTTTTAGACCATGTTAGAAAACATGTTAGAAAACATGTTAGATCTAACATTCTAACATAAACATTATTTTTGCTGAATTCCGTATGAAATTTCATGAAATTTCTCTAGACCGACTTTTACCGGTCTAGCCTAAAACTCATGAAAATCGTGAAAAATAACAGAGTATTTTGACAACTTCAAACAAGTAGGGTAAATGAACCATTTATTTTTATTGACTTTTTACAATTTGAACTTTGTTTGCGTAGATATGAATTCTGAAAGAAGTATGAGGGTCTTGTATGACTTTGTACTTCTCCCATAGTTCATGTCTGTCAAACTTACCTGCCATGGACTCTTTCATAAGTTCCATGAAATCGTCTTCGGACAATCCGGGGAAAAGTATGATATCAGTAAGTATTCTTTTAACATCCTTACTTAAACTCTTTGCTGTCTGTACACAAATGACAACAGAGATGTTAAAGTGTCTGAGCTTCTTAAGAATTCGACACATGTCTTGTTCTCTATTCTTTAACAAAGGATGAGAAGCAAAGTCATCTAAGATAAGAAGACATCTATGAGGGTAAGTCTTCCAATCGTAAGATTGCAATTTCTTCGAAATGTATTCTATCTCTTTCTGTTTGTTTCTGAAGTGTTTCTTCTCTAATATTCTCTGCATTTCCTCATTTGGGTCTTTAAACTTCGAATTTATATACTCATTTATAGCATTGTACTTCAAAACTCTTCTTTGGTACTTCTTTATCCAATCTAACAACTCAGAGTCTTTTATACATACTAACTTAGACTTCTTTATAATATCTTTGAACGAATTGACGGTTTGGTCAAATTGACCCGAAGTACTACAAATGACTACTAACTCATAGAATGGGTTCTTCTCATCTAGTTCTTGTTGTTGTGCAGCCATTTTAAGATAAGTGAAAGTCTTACCCGACCCAGGTGGTGCAATTAGACCTGTTATACCATTCTGAGCAAATAAGAACTTGTCATGTATAGGTTTTATCTGAGCATTTTCTAACTTCCTCTTGTTCTTGTTTAAAACATTCTCAAATTTCTTGTCAATGTCAGCAAACTTTTTTTCTAACATATTTTTAGAAAAATTAAAATTTTTATCTTTTTGAAAATGTCTAGCGATTTCGCTATCTATATTCGAGACAAGCTTTTCGACAGCAAAACTTCTGTCGACCATAAAATCTTACATAGTGTAAACAAGAAAGGTGAATTTGTTCTAAAGTTCTGTTTCTGGGAATATGACAAGAACCATAAAACATTAAGCAGAGAAGTCTTTAAGTTTGTCAATGACAGACTTGTTGACAGAGATGACGCCGATTGGAAAGATGAAGTCCAACAAAAGTTCTTAGAATGCAAAGAAGGCACATGCGCTGTTCTTGAAGATGAAATAGAAAACAGAATAGAAGAGCTATTAAAGGACAAAGAACTTTTACATAAATATGGTTCTGAGAAATTTGACATAACTCCACCAGAAAAGAAGAAGAAGAGAGAAAAGAAAGAAAAGAAAGAAAAGAAAGTAGAAGAAGAGAAGAAAGAACCAGTTCCAGAGAAAAAGAAATTTGACATGTAAAAATAAAATTTTATTTTTAGAACATTTCTGGGTCAATGTCAATGTTCTCTTCCTCTTTAGGGGCAAACACTGGCTTAGACTCTAAAATCTTTTTACCCAATTTACCTTGAACTTCAACTATCTTAGACTCATAATATTCATAGTCGTCTGCTTTCTTTGGTTCATAAGGTATAACAAGTTTGTATGCTTTGCCTTCTTTAAGGTTGAGAACCTTCTGTCAAAATTTTCTTTGACTGCTAACAAACCTTCTATGTCTAAGTCTTCAAATTTCGCACCATTTTTAGTCACAATAGCAAACTTAACTGGTTCGATGTTCCAAACTTTGTCAAATGTAGACTTTTCAAAATGGTAGAAGTAAACATTCAAATAAGCGAATGGGTCTAGTTCTTCTTTAAGTCCTGACATATATTTGTTGACTGAAATATATTTCGTCATCTTTTCTATCGGATAAAAAAATATTTTTTTTAAAACGTTTTAAAATGGTATGCCATATAGCTTCTTGAATTTGTTAAGAAGTATTTGAACGTATTTTCCATCTGTATCTCTAGCGTTTACATAAGCATAGTCCGCCTTAGTAAAATATACTTGTAATTTTCTATAGTTTACACCGGTATAAAAGTAGAAAGAGTCTTGTTCTTCGCTATAGTAGTAAAACTCAAACGTATGCTTACCATAGTCTGTAATTTCAATTGCTTCATCTTCTAGTTCGTCGACAAATTCGAATACTATATCTCCAAATTTGCCTCTGTTCTTATTGTTTTCAGAACGAGTAACCCAACGTAAGTTCTCAAGTCTATTGTCGTTTCTTATACGGTTTATATGGTCTACAAAAGGTAAATTGTTAGGGTTCGGTATAAAATGAGTTGCAATGACAACATGTTTAAAATAGCGTTTCCCACTCATCCTCATAATAGCATATCCTTTATTTCCCTCCCATCCGCTTAAAACTCTTTTTGTCTCTTTGTTTCTGACTTCAAATGACTCACAACAGTGAATTTCATATTTCTCATCTAACAAACAAGTTTCCCAACGGTCTTTTCCAACAAACTCAGCGTACATTTCAAATAAAATAAAAAAATATTTTTTTTTAAAATTTACTCAGAAAAATTTTTCTTTGTATATACACCATTCTGAACATCTAAAAGATTTTTGACATTTGCCAAGAATGTTCGTTTAGACGCTGTCATATAACCATACTCTTGACAATATTGTTTATACGAATCGTACAATGACCTTTCATCTAAACACTCAAAGTTAGTCTCATCTATAAACAGTTCATATACACTCTTGTTTGCTTCTAACAATGTTTGTCTCTCTTCGGTATGTGGAATTTGTCTTGGATTGAACTTTGAAATATCTAATGTCATGAAATATGAGAACAAGTGGTTGTAAAAGTTAGGTGTCAAAGTTTCTGCTAAGTCGTCAAAATATTCTGTATCTTGCATATGAGCTTCTGACGTTCTGACAACTACATATCTTCTGTCAGAACTTTCTAACTTCATCGGAACGGCGTTGTTTGAAACCATGACGAAGTTTGCAACATTTTCACAAACTCTTTGGTCTCTATACTTTCTTTCAACAACTCCAACTTTGTCTGTTATAAGACTCTTCAAAGCATCTGAGTTCAAAACTTTTGTTGTATCTATACTTTGAAGTTCGTTACATACTATAAGTTTCATATTCTCTATTGAAGAGTTAAATTTACCGCAGATGTTTTCTAAGTTTGTCATATTCGGGTTCGAATAGCCTTCTAACAGTTTGCATAAGATATCTGTAAAGAAAGTGTTCTTACCTGTTCCTTGTTTTCCAATTATGATGAGAGCAGTTTCATTTTTAGCACTTGGATGTTGTAAGATGTTTGCAAACCAACATAAGATATACTCATAGACTCTTTCGTTTCCATTGCATATAATTTCTTTGACATGGTCTAACCAAGCTTCTATAACATCTTCCTTCCATTCTACTTGTTCGTATTTATATCCAGTGAAGATAGAATAGAAGTTTGGAGAAGGTGTATAGAACTTTATACCACGAACTGAAAAATCTTCAAGTTTTGACAATAAGATATCCCAAGCATCTAACATCTTCATACCAACTTGTACGACTTTTATTTTCTTAAGTTTCTGTTTACATTCTTGTTCTGAAACTATTGTTGCTCTTGGTTTGTTAAAGACAACATCCCATTCTTTCATGACATAACATTCTGGGGCAGAGTCAACATAAATGACTAAACGTTTCAAATTCTCGACTGCTTTGTTATAGTCTCTAAATGGACACATATTTCTGAAGGCTTGGAAGTCATAAAAATCTGAAACGTCTATTCTGTACATTTTTATAAAAATAAAAAAAAATATTTTTTTATTCTTGACTTTGTTGTTGCATTTGTTCCATTTGTTGCATTTGTTGTTCTTGAGCTATTTGTTGTTGAAGTTGTTCTTGTAGTACAATACTTTCACCAGTTGCATCTTCCAATTCGAAACTTTCTGCCGTCATTGACAAATACATAGGACATAAAAGTTTTACAGGAACAAAGTTTGCGTCGACTAAGGTTAAGTTTATGTTTGCTAAAGTGTTTGAGTTTACTAAAGCTGAAAACTCTGCATTCGAATGAACAATAGGCAAACCAGCAGAGAAAGTGTTGTTTATACGCATGAGTATCTTTTGGTCATAGTAGTTTCTGTCGACATTCGAATAGCACTTTGAACCTAAGTTTGAAACAATATATAAAATAGGTGTGCTTAAAGTCAATGGAACAGATAGACCTTGTATGACACCTTTTCCTGTTATAGGAAACTGTTGGTAGTAAAAACCAGATATAAGTTTTGTATTATAGCTCATATTGTTTATAGTAAACTCAGTCGGACATCCAAACATAATGAAACCTGCTCTAGTTGCAGCACATGTTACATCCGTCCTTAAAGTATTAAATAAGTCAACAAAACCTGTTGGTGGTATATCTGAGTAAGTATCTTCAAAGAAGTATTTTTTACCATTCACAACAACAAAGTCTTCTGGTGTCAAAAGAGCAAAACAGGCTTTAGTCGTCATTGTGTTTAAAGTTAGTTTACAATACCGTCCTTGAGGACTTTGTAAGTTTGTTGTTATAGAATTATATGACTCAGGGTTTTTAGTCGTAATAGTATAAACCACTATGTCTTCTGCCATTTACTTAGCAACTAAATTTTAATGAAATGTTGTGGTCGTCAAATATTTTTATGACGTCTGGGAAACTATATTTTAAGTTCAACGTTTCACCTCCTTTCATAACGTATATCTTGTCAATGACATTATATGAAACACCACAGCAAGCAATGTCAGGTTCTATTTCTTTGATGTTTATATCGTCTGCCTCTGTCAAAAGTTTCAATAGTTCTTTCAAAATTTCATGAGGTGCGATGACATATGAGTTCACTTTTACAGGGTTGTGCTCAACCAAGTTTAACATTATACCCAAAGCCTGACAAATCTTCTCCTGAGTTTTAAGTTTGTCTTTAAGTTGTTGGTAGTCGTTTCGAATATCTGCAACAGAACTTAAGTCTCTGCTAACTTCAGGGTATGTTGGTTGTTCTTTTACAGGAACTATTGTTATACCATCTTCGTCTTCGTATGGTTTCCCCACTTCAACATCTCTGTCTTTGACATTGACAACAATACTTTGACTGTTTGTTTGAGTTGGTGAATTTAACTTCACATCTGCCACCGCCATTAAACCTTTTGAAACACTTACGCTTTTATTTTTCGGAAATGACATTTTACTTAGAATAAAAAGATGGACGTATTCGAGTATCTTATTGAATTGAAGCAGAACAAAGTTTACACACACAAACAATACAAATACATTGACAGAATAGTTCTTTATACAAACAATGGTAAATGTTATAGAATAGCAGTCTTTGCTGAACCAAAATATTTTCATAAAGCAAAGAAAGTTGGTATAACTGAAATGGTGAAAGTTCTTGACGTTGACAAAAATATAACAACAAAACTTACAGATATTTCTAAAGGTAAGTTTATCTTACAATATTATGTCAAAACTGGCGTACTGTCAATATTTGACGGAGAGAAGTCAGTTCAAGAACAACTTACTGACCTGCTGCCAAAATCTGCTCGATGGAAGCTGTCGTTATGCCAATCTGAGGAGCCCCAGCAGGTTTCATCGAACGAATCTTCAAAAGAGCATCTTCCGTGAAAAGTGCTATTGGTTTTGTAAACTTCTTTGCTCTCAGTTCATCTGGACCGTCTCTGTCACCAGTATATTGTATTTGTACAGTACCAACAGTTGAAATACCACCCATAAAGTCTTC